TTATGGTTAAAAATCAGGATACAATTTTTTATATGCTGTTTTTTTTATATACTTAATATTTAAAACACTTTTATAAATTTGGATGGAAAGAATTTGGCCAAAATACTTTGTACTTTTCTATAACTTGTACATGTGACTTTTATGTTCAGGAATACCAATAAATATTATTTTTTAAAACTCATGTGTTAGAGTAGGAATTAAATGCCTCTGTGATTGTCTTATAAACCATTGAATCCTGTTCTGGAATAAGTTGGAAAATCAACACTTATATAACCATAATATCAATTCAAATTTTTGCTAAAGAATTTGTCAGATGAGTATATTTTAATGCAATGAGATTTTTTTTTTGCTGCTTTCTTTTAGAAAATTTTGTCTTTTTAGCATGATAGATAAAAGTCTATTTTTGGCCTCTTGTACTGTGAATTCAGTGAAAGACTAGAAATGACTTTTTTGGGCAACATTTTTATAGGAAATTATTTTAATTAATGAAATAGAAAGCAGAGATGTGTTACTTTAAGATTAGGGCAATATTTCTTAAAATGTGATTCTGGGACCCCCTGTTTAAAATGTAGACTTCCTGACCCATTAAATCAGAATCTGAGGATAGGTACTGGGAAGCTGTAGGTATTTTTTTTTTAAATTCTCACCTGAGGATTTTTAAAAAAATTGATATATATATATATATATATATATATATATATAGAGAGAGAGAGAGAGAGAGAGAGAGAGAGATTGTGTGCCTCCTGCATCTTGAGACTGGGGATCCAACCTGCAAACTGGGAATTCCACCACCTTTTCATGTAGAGCCACAGAAAACAGGCGGGAAGCTTTATTTTTAAAGATATACCCTAAGTAATTCTTCTGAGATTCTCTAAGAACCACCAGTTGGGGAAGAGAAGTTTGAGATTTAGAAATTCTTGTATAGGGTCTTCTCTACTCCAACATTTACTAAGTAGAATTAGACCTTTTCTCAATTGCACGTTGCTTCCCAGATAAATCAGAATTGGGGAATGGAGTCTATTGCTCTACCACAATCTTATTAGAGAGGTTTAGATTTGGAATTGAGAGCAGACACAAGTGGTCAGTAACATTGAATGGCGTTAGGGTGACTGTGTAGGTAATTTGTCTTGGCCAGAAAATAGCAGTCCACCAGTTCCAGTTCCTTTGGGGGTGTCCTTTGGGCAGGATGCTTGCCTAAATCATTGCAGAGTTTACAACTCTTGATGAAACAGGTCTCCATGAAGAGCGGTAATACCCTGCAGTGGTTCTCAACCTTCCTAATGCCGTGACCCTTTAATACAGTTCCTCATGTTGTGGTGACCCCCAACCATAAAATTGTTTTCGTTGCTACTTCATAACTGTAATTTTGTACTGTCATGTCTTAGGCGACCCCTCTGAAAGGGTTGTTTGACCCCCCAAAGGGATTGTGACCCACAGGTTGAGAACCGCTGCTCTAGAGAGAGGTTACAAGCACAAGTACTAGTCAGACACATCTGTCACTTGCTATGTATCTGGAAAAATTAAACAGCTCAAAATCTTAGATTCTTATTTAAAATTAGGTTATTACTGGTGCTAGCCTAATGATAAAAGACTGTGTGCAAATTATTTAACACAGGGCCTGACATAAAGTAAGCACTTATAAATGCTTATAGTGATGCTTTCGCAAAAGCTTGACTCTAGATAAACTTGAGAGGTCAGGCTCTTCCAGGTGATTTTTCAAAGACCTTGTTAATACCTAGAAAAGCCTAGTGATTTGAGTAATCCCAATTCTGTGTGGGGTGTTGGCAGTGGACCCAAGTTTACTAATAATTATTCATCTGAGCTAGATTTTTGATATCTCTTAGTTTCATGGAACATCTAACACTAAAGGAACTTATTAAAATCCACCCTGGGGGTTGGTGTAGGACTACATTGTATAATGTGAAGTATCATTCACATACCTTCTCCAGTAAAAGTCATTCCTGCACACACACACACACACACACACACACACACACACACAACCTTACCCTGACTAGCTTTATAATACTTCTGGGGTGCCACATTCCATAAAGCTATTTAAGGTTCCAATAAATATCTCTGACTTTATGATGATCACTACCATGAAATATATTTATATAACCCTTTTCTTGACTTCTTGGTAAATAGTTCCTGAGTAGACATACTTGTTACACTTTTTCCTAATTTAAACCTGCATTTGTCAATTTACAGATAGTGACTGTAGCAAAATAATCATCCCCGAGAAACATGACTAAATCAGGTCAAGACAATTACCAGGAGCAATCATTTATATGATCCAGTTGCATAACACACTTCTTGAATAAATGACATATCCTAGTTTAGGATACATCACCAGATTCAGGTCAGAGAGTATCCTCTGCCAGTCAATAAGAGTGCGGGTCACTGGGAGATCTCTTCGTAGAATTTTTCTCAGGGCTTCATTCGATAACTCCTGTAATTCTTCTAAGACTGCAGCTTGAAATGTATTCTCTTGCTCTTCCACAAGCCTTGCAAAACTTAGAGCCAGTTGAGCTTGGTTAACTATTTCCAAGCTTTCTTTCAGATCCTTGGAGATTTCAATATGAAGGTTGACATTCTTGAAGAAGTGAGCTTGCACAAAAATTCTTCCTGTTACTTGGGTTAGAAATGGATGTACTTGGAAAATCCATTTAGATTTCCAAAGGCCATTCCAGAAATTTGCTGTTTCATAGCTGTGATCTTCAATACAAGCTATCAAGAACTCCTTTTTCTTCACAGTTTTTCTCAGCACGTTGCAGTTTCCTGATGGATAGTGATCATTCACATAGAGTTTCAAGGCACACAGAACAACATTTCTCAGGTATTCTGTTTCATTACGAATGATACCATGACTTTTGATGTCTTTTAACTGGTTTTGAAGCAGGTCGAACTTGAAAGAAAGTTTGCTGTGACAGTCAAAAAATCGGAAGTCACCCAATACATTGTGGTGAGACAAGAGGACTGGATTTCCATCGATGCAGAGTGGTACATAGTATTTTTGGCAGTGTTGATGGCCCGCACACTCACCTTGATAGTGCATAAGTTTTTCATCACGGATAAGCAGACAGAGATCATCAAAGGCATTTACAAATTCCCCTGGAGGAGCCTGTATTAATAGTCTGCGGATTGCTCTTTCTTTCTCTTTTCTACTCAGAATAGTGCGTGCCATGTTTGGTTGCAGCAGAAGCAAAGCTTCTGAAATAAAGAGTGTTCAAAGGATGAGAAAACATTCCATGAGTCACCTTTCCCATCAAGGTGTTCAACATTCAAGCTTAAGATTACTGTGTCTAACCATGAAAACAGGTAGGCTGGTAAGCTCTGAGTCTCCTGATAGAGTCATAAAGAACCTTTCTATGAAGTGTGGAACTTTTGATGATATCACAATGGGGCTCAGACCAAAAAAAAAAAAATTAATAAATAAAAAATAACAGTCATCTGGCAGAGTGGTGCCCAGCCAACCAGTTATCCGTATTTTGAAGATATTAAGAATTTAGCCTCCCGAACAGCCTTCTTCAAATGTGGTGTGTCTTCGTGTACATTATATATTGTCAGGGATCTAGAGAAGCAGCCCAGAGTTGCTAGAGAATGTTTTACAGCATTTTGCACCTTTGGGACCACAATGGCGTTGACTTATACTCAGGCTATCAGAATAGCTGTCTTGAATCTACTGGAAGCACGGTATGCTGAAAGGTTTGAGGGCGTTAAACAAGAAAGCAAAACTAAAAGGATGTGGTGGCAGTTCAGAGAAAAATGCCAGACAGCAGGAGATGCAGCGTTTATAAACACTGTGGGTTTGGAGATAGTTAGAACAAAAAGGAATAGGCAAGACAGTTTCAAGGACAGTGAAGTGCCAGGAGCACATCTTACGTCTTGTTTCTGTGGGAATGAGGGGTGACTTAACTCCAAAGAGCAAAGACGAGGAATCACTCTGCATTCTCTGCTTTTTTTTTCCCGAAAAGGGGCAGTGACAACAGCCATCGAGTATCAAGAAATTCCTTTCCTGAAAAGGAGCAGAGTTAATTATAAATGGAATCCATCACAACACCTAAAGTGGAGATACTTCTAAGCAAGGAGAAAGGAATGACAGGTCATGAAAAGATGGAGCAAAAATATCCATTCAGATGTCCCTTCTATTTGTCTTTCCTCTTCATCCTCTTGTCTATCCCCTTTATTCTCTTCTCCTGAACTTAAATCCCTCTAATTTATGTCTAGACTTTGTCCTTCCATATTTGTCCTGAGCTTTTCTGAGTTCCCTAGCTTCCTGTATCTTTTTAAGAACAGGAGCTTTGCCATATTAAATGCCAGCCATTCAATTTAAGGGCTTCTCATTACTTCTAACAATCTGAAATTGAGTGGATTATTGAACTCTTTTTACCAATGCCTTTCATGATTTTAGAGACTGTCATGTTTTTTTTTCAACCTCCGTTTTTCAAGTTGAAGTGCCCTAATATTTGTAGTGTATCTATATGTAATAAGTAAGCTCGATTATTTTATTTTCCTCTTTCATACCAAATATACACTCATTATGGCATTTTAAACCCTTTTTGATGGTACTTCAAATGTTGCTTTTTTGGGGCATGTGTGTAGCTGGACATTTGGCTAATATCAGATATGCTTACTTTTTATTGAACACTCCCTAAGTATTTCTTTGACCACTTTTCAGATGAGGAAACTGAAGCTGAAATAAGTCAGGTGACAGGGATATTTGGAAGTTCAGCTGCTTCCCAAGTCCATTGCTTTAGGCAATAGATTATATTTCCCAAGTAATAACTTGATTTCATAAATGATCATTTTTATTTTCTTATAATTTATATTACGTATGCTCTTTCATACCTGTACTACAGACTAGTACTGACTTAGATTTGTTTTAAATATCATTTATCATAGAATTACCTTGTGATTTAAGCACAAAATAGACTTCTTTAAAAATAAAAATAAACTGAAGAGAGATCAAATATTTCTTTAGGCATTCTAAGTACTTAATGACTTTCTGTGAGAATTTCCTTAACTTCCTTTTTTTGTGTTTCACGTGGTTTTTGTCGATGGTTCGACAAGAATTTAGAAGTGGAAAAATTACCCTAGAGAAAACTCACACATTACTTGAAAAATTAAATATTCGATGTAATTATATTCATGTGAAGCACATTTTTAAGGTGAGATGCTATCCACCCCCTCCTACCCTACTCTGTAACTCAATATAGCAAAATATCAATAGCTGCTTAGATTTTTTTTTACAGAAAATACAAATGAAAAATTAGTCTCTTAAGAATTAAAGCAATTAATTTTTCTAAATATATTTATAATCAAGATAAAATTTAGGTAGGAGGTAAAATGAGGTGTCAATAAAATTTGAAATAATACTAGGTTATCAGTTTAGAACATGTCAAATATATAGGAATGTTCACATTAGATTAGGATGGGTCATGTGACTAGATTAAAATTATATACACGATGAAACGATAAATGAATTTGATTTTAGTGATTTATAGAAAAATGGGTAATCTTGAGAAAAATTATATTTTACTCACCTCAAAGTTGAAAATCAAAGTTCTCTTTGTTTAAAGATCTGGTAGAAAGGGAACCTGACTCAGCTCTGTCAATAGATGGAGGAAAAGATCATGAATCCAATAAGAAGGAAAGTGTTTAACTGAGTTTTGCAAATTATGCAAATGAAAAATTTCTTAGTGAATCAGGCAAGATTACTAGCCTGGCCAATCCAGAGAGTTAGGAAGTTAGAAATCCTGATTTCGATTTTGATTTTTGGAAGTGAGTAGCCATATAACACAATCTACACTGAAATTGTTACCACTAATATAAACTGGGAAGCTTGTGTTACCTTACTTGCAAGCTAACCAGTTACTGAAATAGTTTCTTGGAAGCTGGCAGAAAGAAGCAGGCTTCCTGTTCAGAGAAAAAGAGTTTGTTACTTACAAAAACAGCAATTGCCAGAGTGTCAGCATTTTGGTGCCATATTTCTTTCTTTCTTTTAAAATATGTTTTTATTGATTGTTTTTTTAGAGAGAGGAAGAGAGAGATAGAAACATTGAAGTGAGAGAGAAACATCGATCAGCTGCCTCCTGCACGCCCCACCACCGGGGATTGAGCCCGAAACCCAGGCATGCGCCTTGACTGGGAATTGAACCAGGACCTCTCAGTCCATGGGATGACATTCAATCCACTGAGCCACACTGGCCGGACTTGGTGCCATTTTTCTAAACCCCATTTCGCATGATGATGTGAGGATGGCCAGGGATGTGTACTATAAATGCAGTAGGTTGCACTACTAGAGAGCAACCTCAAGCTTGAAGAACCCAGATCTATTACGAGGGGCGGTAAGTCTGTCTGACTTTGCCCAGGAGGGTGTTATTAACGTTATCATTGGGGACAGTAAACAAACCTGTTTATTTCTCTAGAGGGACATACTATCTCTTTATTATGCAAACATCCTTGAGCAGCTAGTCATGAAGAAAGAATATTGGTGCCTCTGCTCAGAAAACGTGCAGAAACACAAGACCTTTGGAGAATGCCTCTCAACAAACACTTCTCTCAATAAGATGTATCTCAAAAGAGAAAAGCTGTACATCTCAGGAGACTGCAGTCAAACACAAAAGTTTCAGAGTTGTTTCAATGAATCTGTGTAGCTAGTGCCGCAATAAGTTATCAGGATTTTAATCAATTCATGTCTAATAACACATCTGAAGAACACACGTTTTTGTGAAAGACCTTTACACACAGAAATTTTCCCCTGTGGTATTGTCCAAAAGGAGAAAGAGCAACATGCTTTCAGGTTTAATAAAATCCACATTCAACACAATATAGAGGTAGTAATTAAATCTCTATTAAATGTGAAATACTGCAAATCTTATTCAGCGATTATCAGGTTGCTTTGAATTATCTGCAAGACACGCATATCTGTTTGAAATGTACTTGAGTGAAATGCATGCCAATATGCAAAAGCATTATGTAGAATGCTTAACATTTACAACAAGAAATAACTCATTAATTGAAATTTATGATTATTTAGATATGATAGAGGTGAAGGTCTGTTTTGTTTAGCAAAACTTTTTTGGAGTGACTATGAAAACAACATTAATTATAAAAATTAGAGGTGCAGAGATTGCCTAAGATTCTTCAAAAACCTCTTTAAACTGACCCCAAATACTTTAGAAGCATAAATTATATATAAACAAGGTTGATGGCCATGACAAGCCATTCTTACCTATTAAAATAATTACCCTAGGCCCTCTAATAAGTAATACTTGTTGCCTTAAACTAAACTGCCATATGTTTATTAAAATGTTGATTAACTAGAATTCTTAAGGAAGATGTATTGGCTAACTGAGTTTTCTGGATAGCTAAAGATTCAGCTTCTTCTTCTTCTTTTTTTTTTATCTTCACCCAAGGATATTCCTCCATTTTTGTACAGATAGAGTGGGAGGGAGAGAGAGGAAGGGAGAGAGAGAGAGAAACATCGACGTGAAGGGACACATCGAGTGGCTGCCACCCGCACGACCAACCAGGGCCGGGGACAAACTGCAACCGAAGTACGTGCCCTTAGCGGGAACCGAACCCGAGTCTCTCCGGACCGCAGGCCGACGCTCTAACCGCTGAGCCAAACTGGCCAGGGCAAGATTCAGCTTCTTAAACATCCCACTTTTCTGCTTCAACTTGTGTTGCTAATCTTTCATCACTTAATGGGTACACCTTTAGCCAGAGTAAATACATTGAATCATAATAAATCTTATTTTGGTGACCCAAATCTTCCAGTGTCTCTAGGCTTAGAGATTCTTTCCTCTATCAGATCCTAGCCATGTGATACTTGGCAAGTCAGCAGTCTCACTGGGCAAATGTCTTAATCTGCAGAGTGGGAATATTAATATAGTTATCTTGTAGGGTTGTTCTGAATATCAAATAAGACATTATTTGTGAATGTGCTTAGCACCAGGCTTGGCAAAAAGTAGGCACTCAATAAATTAGTTGAAGGTACGTCTATCATTATTTTTCAAAAAATATATATTGAGAGCTGTATTACATTTATTGATTTCCTAAGAAGCTGACATCAGTTCTGACATAAATTTATTTCCTCAAAAGGTAAGTGTTTATTATAAAATTTGAGTAAAAAACATACAGTAGTTGGCAAAAGTAGGTTAAATGACCAGGCATTATTACCTAAAGGATAAATCATAAATAAGATAATGAAATAATAATAAGACAAATAAATGATATAATAATTAATAAATAGTAATACAAGAATATACTCTGTGTTTTGTGTACTCACAACTACAAACCTACTTTTGCCTACCCCTGTGTAATCTTATGACCCTATTTTTTTTTCTGTTTTATTTATTTATTTATTTATTTATTTATTTATTTATTTATTTATTTATTTATTTTGTATAGATGTTTCTCTTTTTTTCCCCATTGACACCCTCCTCCCCATCCCTTCCCGCCCCATCCCCAGCTTGTTGTCTATGTCCATTGGTCATGCATACATGCATATAAGTTCTGTGGTTTATCTCTTTTCCCCCAGCCCCCCTCCTCTGAGGTTGTCAGTCTGTACCTCACTTCTATGTCTCTGGGTCGATTTTGTTCATCAGTTTGTTTAGTTCATTATATTCCACAAATAAGTGAGATCATGTGATATTTGTCTTTCTCTGTTTGGCTTATTTCACTTAGCATAATACTCTCCAGGTCCTTCCATGCCATCTCAAAGGATAAGAGATCTTTCTTTCTTAGAGCTGCATAGTATTCTATTGTGCACATGTACCACAGCTTTTTTATCCACTCATCTACTGATGGACACTTGAGTTGTTTCCAGATCTTAGCTATTCTAAATAGTGCTGCTGTGAAAATAGGGGTACATATATTCTTTCTGATTGGTGTTTCAGGTTTCTTAGGGTATATTCCTAGAAGTGGGATCACTGGATCAAATGGCAATTCAATTTTTAACTTTTTGAGGTAACACCATAGAGTATTCCATAGTGGCTGCACCAGTCTGCATTCCCACCAGCAGTGTACTCAAGGCCCCTTTTCTCCACACCCTCGTCAACACTTGTTGTTTGATGATTTGCTGGTGGCGGCCATTCTGACAAGTGTGAAGTGATACCTCATAGTTGTTTTAATTTGCATCTCTCTGATGATTAGTGATGTTGAGCATTTCTTCTTATGTCTCTTGGCCATTTGTATGTCCTTTTTGGAGGTGTCTATTTAGGTCCTCTGTCCATTTTTTAATTGGATTCTTTGTCTTCCTTTTGTTGAGTTATATGAGCACTCTATATATTTTGGAAATTAACCCCTTATCTGATGCACCATTGGCGATTATGGTCTCCCATATAGTGGGATCCCTTTCTGTTTTGATGGTTGTTTCTTTTGCTGTGCAGAAACTTTTTAGTTTGATGTAGTCCCATGTGTTCATTTTCTCTTTTGTTTCCCTTGCCTTAGGTGTTGCATCAGTGAAAATTCTGCTGCGTATGATGTCTAAAATTTTGTTGCCTGCATTTTCTTCTAGAATTTGTATAGATTTATGAGTTACATTGACGTCTTTTATCCACTTTGAGTTTATTCTCGTGTATAGTGCAAGTTGGTCATCTAGCTTCATGTTTTTGCAAGTAGCTGTCCAATTTTCCCATCACCATTTGTTGAAGAGACTGTCTTGACTCCACTGTATGCTCTTGCCACTTTTGTCAAATATTAATTGAGCATATTGTCTTGGGTCAATTTCTGGGTTCTCTATTCTGTTCCACTGATCTATCTGCCTGTTCTTGTGCCAGTACCAGGTTTTGATTATAGTGGCTTTGTAGTATAAACTGAAATCTGGTAATGTGATCTCTTCTACTTTTTCAAGATTGCTGTGGCTATTCAGGGTCTTTTTTGGTTCCACATAAACTTTTGGAGTGTTTGTTCCAGTTCTGTGAAATATGTTGTTGGTATTTTGATGGGGATTACATTGAATCTATAGATGGCTTTGGGTAGTATGGACATTTTAATGATGTTAATTCTTCTAATCCATGAACAAGGTATATGCTTCCACTTTTTTATATCTTCATCTATTTCTTTTTTTCAATGACCTATGGTTTTCTGTGAAGAGGTCTTTTACTTCTTTGGTTAAGTTTATTCCTAGGTATCTTAATTTTTTTGCGATGGTAAATGGGAT